CCGCACGTCGGGCGTTGCTTTACCAGGTTAATAGATAAAGAAATATGAGAAAAAAAAAAACTTTAGATAAATTAGCATTTGTTAAATAAAAATAAGTAAAAAAGAATGGTGCTAAATAAAAAGACTGTATTTTTTGAACTTCAAATATCTGGGTTTTTTTTCCAGATAATTAGGTCAGTATGGTTCAGATTCGAAATTTATTCATATTTTAGAACAAATGCAAAGTAAGGGATTCTAAACTAAAATGCTTTTTTTTTAACATTTAAGATTAAAATGTAGCAGTTCACGCCTTTTTTGGTGTGTTACTTTTGTATGACCGTTGAATATTATCGATATTAGATAAAGAATAATGTTCGGGGATAGTGAGAGGCATAGGCAGATCCAGGGCGGTCTCCTGGGAAGGGGAGGGGGGACGATTTTTCATCTCACCTTCTTCCTTCGTCACTACACTCCCCCCATCGAAGGCTTCTAGGGGATGGTGGGCGACAGGAGAGTTTCAAGTGGACTTTGCTACGATAAGTGCTATCTTAGCTCCTGAGGGGAGGGGAGGGAAGGGGTATGTAGATCCGCCAATGGTAAGAGGATAGGAACAGTGAAAATTACGGAAATAAAGATTACATAACTGCGAGGAGGACAAGGAGGAATCATAAATTGAATAAGTAATTTGTAAGGAAAATATTCTTATCTAGGCAAAAATAGAAAGAAAATATGTGAAGATGTTTCCAGCAAAACTGTGAAACAGACAACAGATATTACTTTAATTTATAATTAACAGCTTTTGGCAATATTTGATTATTTTTCCTTATTATGTTATGTATGAATGATTTTCTCAGATTATCCACAAATCGGATTTTGCCTTAAACCGTTGAACCTCGCGTTTACGTATTATTTTACGCTGTTGATCGTACCCTTTTTTTTCAATTTCGCTTTCTTGGAAAAATTCAAAAGCTCAGTGAGCTTACCTCTTTAAAACCTCCTGTTATCTTTCTGCTTTTTTTTGCGTGATGATACTGTGTGCTTACAGTTATTGTGGGACAAGTTAAGGCGATTGCATATTTTTTAAAAATTCTGTTAAATTTCGATATCTGTCTTTTGTTTCTCATCGTTATGTATCATTTAGATGTCTCAGTTGTTATATCATATCTCATTCTCGTTATTTGTGCCGAGTCAGCGACTTTTCCGTGAGCCGGGTCTTGATCTGATCATTGGGCGAGCCGGGTCCAGCAGCTGTCCAGGCTCAGAGCTATTCACTTTCGTCTGTTTCAAAGCAAAGCCTTTATACATGTATATACATATAACACTTTTGTTGATCGTATTCTGCTTTCTTCCTATTGCGTTTTGTTTCTTTCGCAGCTTTTTGCCTTTTTTTTTTTCGTTGAAATAAAATTTTGATAGTTATGCTGCTGTTTTGGTGCAAGAAACAAAAGTTAAGTGTTTGATCTTGCTGACGAACACAGCTGCTTTTTATGCGTTTTGTGCTGTGTAACAGCATTACAAAACGCACATTGTCACGGGGTTGTCTATGTATGTGTGTGCCCCACATTTTGTCTCACACTTTCAACTCGGGAACTACAAAAGCTAGGCGGCTGAAATTTTGTTATAGTATTCCCCACTAACGGGTAACGCGAAAAATTTAAATTCAGCCTTCCCATACCTGCGGGTAACTAGTATGGCCCCGTAAAAGTTCTTTACGAGTAAATCAATATCTCAGGAACCTCGGGGTCTAGGAGGCTGAAATTTTAGGGTAATAACTCCCTGCCCACGTTCAACCTTGCTTATTCAAATTAAGCGTTCCCTCGCTATTGAGTATCACCTACGGCCTCGTGAGAATTTTGATGGCTGAACTATTAACTAGGGAGCCACAAAAAGATATCCTTCAAAGTGTCGAATTCAGCTTTCATGCGCTGGTGCGTGAAATTTTATCTGTTTTTCAATGTTTGAACTATTTTTGCATAGACTAAAGTACCAAGCAGTGAAAATCATTAATAGGCAATCGTTCGGTGAGATGAACTGCACAAAACGCATGATTGCACTAGCCAGTCTGGTACGCGTTGCTATTTATTTGGCTTAGAGTATGCTGTTGTGATAGGAATTGTATGTTGTAGAAACAGGGTGTTATTCTAGAAAGATAACAGGCTTCCCCTCTTGACTGATACAAACTTGTGTGCATTATTTGTATTCGTGTGGCAGGTTTGCATCGAATGACATAACCCTTACGGATGTTAGTGACGAATTTAGGAATAATTAGTACTGATGAAATCCAGTTGTGGCGTTGAGCTAAGACATACACAACTTGAACAGTACATTTTGAGGAGCTGTATTTTGGAAATGACGGGATATTTGTAGGGGGGATGAGTTTGTTTAGAACAGCAATAGTTTTTCTTGCATAAGAGTACGTAAGGTAAAAATATAACCTATCTGGAAGGCATTCAAGTAGTCCTATTTGGACTTCTCATTGAAATGCGATATGTACTAGTTACTAGTAAAAACGAGCAATTTTCTCTGTTCAGCGATTTTGCTTTTTTTGTGTATTTAGGGGAATAATAGCCCGCAGGACGTTTCTCATTTAGAGGAGGAACTGTTTGTTCAGATGGTCATAGTGGGATACACCAAGCGTTCTTCGCTCCCTCACTCAGTTCCTTTTATAAGCCAGCGTTTGTTCTTTTACTTTCATCAGTGACCACGTTTCACATTCCTACGTAATTTGCTTTAACACTGTTGGTGTTGAGATGGTGGGTACAATCCTTTTGGAGTCAAAATTTTAAAGTCATTCTCCTCAAAGATAGGGACAGGGGGAGTAATTGAAGTATTAAAGTTCTGTTTTTGAAAGTTTTAAAATTTTTTGATAAAAAAAGTTAAAAAAAAAATTAGAATTTTTTGAAAATTTTTTTCATAGACGTGGAAAATTTCAGATCA